TTAACTCAAGAAATAATGATGAATGATGATTTGTTGTAATTTAAGGGGCTATCTGTTTTTGAATAGCTTTTGCGCACAAACTAGTTGATGCAGCTTCCTCGAAATTTTACAGTGGTTTATAAACAGAGGCAGTGGTAGTGGACAAAGGCAGTCAATGAATTATCAAACACCTCTCCTGTTATAGGTATATTGTATTATATCCTGGTGCAATCCACTTATGCGATTTTTATTGATTATATTCTTCTCTATTCCATGTGGTCATCATTTAATTCTTTCAGGAACGTGGAGAATTTAAGCTACACTGGACTTGTCTTATGACTATAAGACAATATATTGAACCGCGTGAACCCTTCAATCGCGTGGACTCTACAAATTTTTCTTGCCTTAGGACAAGTACTCAGCAGCAGCAGCAGCAGCAGTCGACTCGTGGATTGGGGTTTGTAATAAATTTAGTGCATGTTGACAGCTTTTATTGCTCGTGGCGCATGGATAAAGCATGACAACTCGACGCAATTGTGTACCATTCATAAAATTTATTTATTTCATGTTTACACTGCAACGCATCGCATTGCAACGGAGCTACAATCGCCTGCCCAACATAACTAATGCCGACCTGACAACGAGGAACGAAAAAATGATTGGTTCGAAGGCAAGCACATACCGTATATATCACATATCTGCACGGGAGTACACATGACTTTGATCTTGTGCAGCAGGCGTTCCACGCAGACGTCCTCAGTTGGAATTGCAACTGCAACTGCAACAGAACTGCGACTGCGACTGCTACCGAATTGATACTGTGCCAAATTTGGTTAAATTTATAAATTCTTCGCTGTTTGTAATTCTTGTACTTCCCAAGACTTCCTAAGCGAAAGTCAACACTTTCTATGCATTCGTGCGCGCCACCGAACGCAATGGGAAACCAATACGGGTTCCGCGTCCGTCACGCATATCATAAATTCTCTTTTAAACGAGCGCTGAGCTGAGCTGAGCTGAGTTGCGCTGTACTGCGCTGCGGCAACAAACTTTAGAACTGTTTTTTTTTGTGGATATTTCATTTCATATTATTTAATTTTTTCCTTTTCATCTTTGTATCTGCAACAAATAAGGCAACACTAAAACGCCGCTTTGATCGTGCAGCATTTAATATGTTTATGTCAATATTGCAGCAAATAAAATGATATTACAAGCAGACGGACATACGCACAATGAAGTGGACAAGCGGACAGACAGACATATTGTCGTTTTGTATTACTGCCGCTTGTGTTGAAGTTGGAGTTGATATTCTAGACTCTGGATTTCGCTAATAGCGGTGGTTGCTCTGCCTTTGATGATGTTATCGGCTCGTTTGGAGACAAGCTTGTCGTGTGGCTTTCATAATTTTGGGATATGAATTCATAAATGAAAATGAATTTTTTATTCTAATTTTAATGGAATTCAATTGAATTTCAATGTGGACATTATTTTAAATTATGCAATTGTCTTCGTGGAAAGGACAACTCAATGGATAAGGCGGTAAGTGGATAAGGCGATATGCATTTAATGTGCGAAGGAATGTAGAAGAGCATTCTTACGAAAAGTAAATAAACTTTCCACTAGGAACTTTACAAAATTAATTAATTTGTTTAATTTTAATATAAGACAATAAGTATTTATTTCTCAGACATATCGTCAGAAACAGCTTTAACCAAATCCCTAATAGCATTGAATTTCGGATTATTTTTATTGCCTAGTAGATTAAAGCAAATACTCTCACTTGTGGTTATCATCCCGCCCAAGTGACGCATAAGATTCAACGCCGTCCTACGATCTTGTTTAGCACGTGAACAGCAACAATCTGCTACCACATGGACTCTGATATCCTGGTTCAACAAATCCAGAACAGTTTGCTCAACGCATACATGAGCCTATCTTAAAAAAATGAGAAATGTTTGAGCATTTTTGGAAGGGATTTGAACCTATCACTCACCTCAATACCAAATATGACAACATCCGTTAATTTGTTCTCCGTGTAAACTTCTTGAAGCTTGCATTCCAACTCTGGTACCAACATGCTGAATTGAGTCTTTGCCGCTAAGACACACGCATGACTGATGTCAAGTTCCTTTGGAGTTCTGCCTAACTTTTCCGGATATTGTTCTGTGACGAAGAGTGGCACCTCCAATGCCTTTCCCATTTTGAGCTGCATAAGGAAAACAGAATAAGAATAGAATAGAATAATTATTGAATATATAAAAATGATAATTAATAAAATTATTTAATTTATTAATAATTGAATTCATTAAATATAATAAAAATAAAATCAAAAGCTCAATGAAGCATTGGCTGCAGCCACAGCCATTAATGATGTTTGCTGAAGTTTGCGTAGCATACTTTTGAAGCACAAAGTGAAACACAGCAGAAATAAAGTTCAGTTTCTAACACTGGGAAAGCTTTAAAAAGCAAACATACCACTTGTGCTTAATGCTTTAAGCTTTAAGCACAGACATGAAGTTTTATGGTGTGTGTCCACGCTAACCGATTTTTGTACTCAAAGCTAACATAAAAATTTCTAACAACGAAAACTACTGACATTCATCGAGCCACAGTAAAAGCAAAATTAAATTTTCTTCTTAGCTTCTTCTTATATGTGACGATATTTGTTTTAGTGATATAATTTCTCAACACATAAAATTCAGCCTTAAAAAGTTGTTTGTATTTCTAATATACATAACTTTTTTGCAATGGCTAAACATATGATTTTTCTAAAAATAACTATTAATATTTAAATTACACTTTAAAAGGAATTATAATTACCAATTTCGAAGTGTTCTTAATTAGTGAATCAAATAAAGGCATAGCTGGCCGAAATTTATCTTGAATATCACAAAGAAAAAAAGCCGTGGTTTTTGAATTTAATTTTGTAAAATTGAACTTCATTGTGAAATTAAATATAACTCAAATATAAAACCTTAATTCTATTTCACACCAAAAAAATAAACTCAAATAAATTTAAAATAATTTCAATCTGTCAAAAATTGATAACCTGTGTGAATGATTAGAAAAACAATAATATTCACAATAGTGTCAAACGAGTACATAGGATTATTTTTCTCGAATTCTGTCCGTGTTTAATAACAAAAAATAACTAAATGATTTCTTATAAATTTTGTAAACACCATTCTGTCAATCTGTCCAACGGCTGATAAGCGAAAAATTGATATATTTATATATTGCATATTTGGCTTCATAAAAAATTTGTTCACACAGTAAATTAAAATGCTTGTAAATAAAAATACTAAACATTTAAATTATAATTTTATTTTGTTTTGCTTTTGTTTACACAAATTAGTACCGCAACACAATTATACTTTTGTGAATAAATAAATGAATAAAATTTTAACTTAATTTTATTGATATTACAATTTAATTGCAATTCGCTAAGCGAGAGGTTGGCATCACTGCTGTAATCTGTCAAGTGTTATGTTTTGGCAAATAGCAAATCTTACATATGTGCACATAAATCAAGCAAAATTACATTTTGTATAAAATAAATAATTAATATAAAATTGAAAATTATAATAAATGGTAAAAATATTCAGAATTTCAAAATAAAACACTAAAATTTTTTCTATCTATATCTTCAAATTCTGATCTATAATCTATCTAATTTTTTCTATCTATATCTTCAAATTTTTGAATTTTTGTTTACATATGATTTTTGACATGTGATTGCAATATTCGTTCGAATTTAAAATGAAGATTCACAATAGTTCGCTTATTGTGTTGGTAATATATATTTTCTGTAGTTGCTAAAATATATGGCCACTTCACAACTAGGTACTTAAATAGAAAAAAAAGTATTGTTGTTTTGCGTACATTTTAGCAACTTAAGCTAGTAACTTGCTGTATTTTGCTCCCGAAATCACCTATTGTTTAATTATTATTATATATATATATAAATTGTTTTTTAAATTGTTTTTTGTCTGCGTTTTAATACAATTACAATGTATTAAATGTATTTATATTATTTTTATTATTTCACCAAAGATTTCTGAAAAATTAGAGAATTTAAGAAACAAAAATGATTATATAGCCTTCAATAAAAATATGTGAGCACTTATGTATCGTATCATATCGCATTATTTTTGTGAGAAAAAATTATGAAAAGCTAAAAATGTAACAAATATATATAATAAAAACAACTTGAATAACGTTCATATGTTATTCATATATGTGTTGTATATAACAGATATGTAATAGGTGTATTTTTTTGATTTGAATGCTGCAATAGAACATGTATTATTTAAAAATTAACATGCAAAAAACTCACGAAAATTAAATCATTTTCCTGAAAATGCTTAATGAATAAAAACATCGCACTAGACAGGTGCCAAATCTTAAAACCGATCTATTATGAATGATTTTTGGAAATAAGTGGAAAACTCCAGTCAGCTGTTTATTATGTACAACTATTGTGAGTGAATTTAAATGTTTCAAAAAAGTAATTTTTTAATAAAATTTATGTAGATGACTGACAGATAAGTAATTGTGAAGAAGTTAATTATTTATTAGTGAATTTTTAATTAATGTGTTTATTAAAAAATGCAATATAAGAATAAATTCAGAACACAATCTTTAAAATAAAAGCGAAAAGTTGTAAGACAATTGTAAGAAAATAAAAAGTGTTAAATACTGCTCATTTAACATTAATTATAGTAACTAATTTATTCACGACCTCGTTTTGACTATATGTATATTTATATAAAAAACTTTTTTGTAAAGTTCAACCACAAATTTGTTTGAAATTATCTTATTTGTCATATGTTTACTGGTTTAGACAGTGATACCAAATTCAAGCCCCAAAATAAATTCATTCAAGTACTAAAATAAATTATTACTTAAACAGGGAAGTTGCTTAAGCAATATTTCTGTTTTAAACAATTAGTGGATTTTGGCATAGATGGCAGCATTAGCAAAATATGGTTCGCAGTGCTACCAATTGGCTAATACATACACACACTTTACACCACGGCCGACGTTGTCGTTATCGTAAAAAAATGTATAAAAATCATGGGAAAAACAATCAATTAAATAATTAAATGTGCTTAAAACAATTATTTAATGTGTTAAGTGTTTGCATGTATCAAAAGTTCAAGAGATTTCGTACGTTGTTTTGTTCTAAATTCAGTAAAAATATATCCACCGCAAGTTCTCTGATCAACGTCTGTGCATAATAATACAGTAAAAAAAGTAGCAAAAAGAAAAAATAAAAAATTTGTTTGAAAACAACGAAAAACTTTCGTTTGCTGACAAAACAACAATAAATGATTACAAAATAAGATTCAATATTTGCTAGTATCGTATGTATCAGATACGTGACTAAAACCTAAACTTTTATTAACCAATCGTACATATGTAGGCAAATTTTGGCTAAATCCAGAAAAACTCATTATTTTTGGTTTGATTTTTCTCCTCTATATGTAATTATGTGTATGTGCGAAGAGGTGAATTTGCTATTGTGAACAGTTGTTGCTGCCAAAAGTATTTTGACATTTACACCACATTTTTCTATCGTTTGGCTGCGTCGACGGCGGCGTTTGTTAAGTGTTTGTACTGATTTTGCATAAAATGTGCGAATAGTGGAATAAATTTTTTTTTTTTTGAAAACTTTAACTAAATTCTAACAATGAACAGATTACGTTGGTATACTGCATAAATAACCTTGCTGAAATGAAAGTTATAATTCCTACATCCTTTTGTGAAAAAATATGAAATAGTTCCATTCGATGTGCTCGTAGTACGCACGGTGGTCTCGTGTCAGATTTCGCCCTACGTCGCGATTGTGTATCGTAAATGTCTACATATGTATATTTGGGAATAAGGTGTAAATTTAATATGGTTAAATTTTATATATGTTAAATATAAGTTAATATAAAGCAATAACGAAAGAAATTTCAAATTTCAAATTTCAATTTCAAAGTAACGAAAGCCAAATACAGAAAGCAACACAAATGAAGGAAATAGCTAATTTCGAAGATACAACGTCATTTCCACAATAGTCGGGAGCAAAAAATTTGCCAATGAGTCGAAGACAGTCATTGGATCGGCCAGGTGTGTATAGATTTTATTTTTATGCTAATATTTTGTTATTTATAAAACAAAAATGCAATACCGTTTTGTTTTCCTTTTTTTTTCTTTTTTTTTTTGTTTTTTTTTTTTTGAAGTGAGAAATGAAAAAAAAAATTATATTTATACATTTTTTTTTATTTTCCTCTTTCATTTGTGCTAAAAATAATATTTCAACATCAACAAGACCACTTTTTCCTTTGTTTTCATCATTGACATCTTTTATTTTCTTGTATGGCAATTTACCATTTTTTTCTTGTGTAGATAAAGAGAGAGCGCGAATGTGGTCGAGAGAAAAACGTCGAGAGACAACGTTTAGAGAGCAAGCCTGAAAAGAAGTAAACAGAGTAAAATGTTGGATTTGTTTATACATATGTTTTGTATAAATAATTTTTCTTTCTAAAAATTTCTTTCTTAATTAACACTAATAATTTATAATAAAAGTGAATAAAAAGAGCTTTAGAATCCAAATATGTAAATTATTTTATATACTATAATTTCTATTAATTTTTCTCATTACTTCAAAGACTCATTACTTCTTATTAAGTGCTTTTTTAAGATACATTTTAATGTATTTAATTTTTTTTTATTGTTAAATAAATATTTTCAAACTACTTGACCCAAATTTAATTCAAAATGGAGTTCATTTCTTTTTGATTGGTTTGTGTGTGTGTGTAATTGTATTTGTGCATATGATTGTGTGTGTGTGTGCAAGATTTGCATGTATTCGAAAGTGCTATGTCATGGTTGATCAAAGGTTGTCAGCGATCCACAAATTAAATTACTCTAAAAAAATGTGTTAAAAATTAGCGCATAACATTAGGATCACTGACCTACTGGTTCTACGATTTTACACCACCTCTTGCAAAACAACATTATCGCATATGTTGCGAAAAAATGCACCCCTTTTGTACCTAATTTACATGGAGTAGTGAAGGGTTTAGCGTGCCTATTAAATTAAATATAATCTCTCAGCAGGTCTATGACAATTCCGGCAAATGTGGTCCGTTAAGTAAAATGCAAAAACTCAAAGGGGTGAGATTGAAGATGAGGTTCATGCTGAGGTTATAAAAACTGTGTTGTATAGAGTTACGAGTTCATATTCAAATGTTATAATATTTACCAACAGTTTATGATTTGTAATTACTATTCTAAACAACATCTAAGATAATCCAAGCAGATTAATATGCAAATTATGCAATTTTGGATATTAATCTTCATATCTAATCCATTATTCAATAGTGAAAATAGTTTTAATTATGCTATCATCTCACCATTTATTTTTTTTTTCAATAGATCGTACCTGTCTCTGACAAATTAATGGCACAACTGTTATCAGAAAGTCAATTAAAATTCTTTTTAAATCAGTTTTCATTTTTTATTGTTTAATAATTATAACAAAAAATAAATTTTGCACATGTTAAGAACAAACTCCAATCAATACATCATAAACATCTGTTCCTATAGTACAGATGTTGACATTTTTCCGATAAGAAAAACGAATTCAATATACATATAAATAATCAATTTTATATTGTTTCGTGTTTTTACTAATTTTATATGTTGCTCATAGAAGCATCAAGTATTAAAGATTAAAAAGTTATATTTCTTGAGTATTGAATGACTTCTTAACATTACTCTATTACTTTCAATATTCTTAATGTTAAAGTAACTCCAATATCAGTCTTTTGTTAGGTTTACTTACAGATCATTGTAGGTTAAGAAACCAAGCTTGAAGATTACATCTCCCATTCGATCATACCTCCTGTAGCTGTAGAAAGGACGATGAAATTGCTTCTCATATCGTTTTTGCCCAGCTCATGCACGAAGGTAATTAGGCATTTTAGGGACCCTCTTCTGTGAGGATCTTGAACAATTACAAGAGCTCCCACTAAACAGCATTTTAAACTTCGTCCCATGTTCTAGGTGGTTTTGAACTCTATGTTTCTTCACTACATGGTAACACAATGTGCTCATAGGCATAAGTGGATTCTCTAGGGTTCACCGGTATAACCTAACCGAACTTCTTAACGTTAAAATCGTGCAGCTGACTATGCACCAAAAAACGCATAAAGCCGTAATATTAACGATTGTGCGATTATAATATATAGTACATGAGATCATACTGAGTAGTGCGTACAATTCAAAGTCGCCGTTGTGGCAAACTGCTTACAGATTTCCCCGTTTAAGCCGTAGAGCTACGGCTTCTTATATTTTTTTAACACTAGTATGTGGGGTTAATTATTTCGATCATTTTAAACAAATGCGCTCTACTGCATTTTATATAGTCGTGTATATATAGTTGCACGTTTAACTCATAAGCACTGAATACTATATATAAATCGCTGGGTCCTCGATTAGAAGAACACCAATGTCTTAATCCCGTGAATTTCTAAATATCAACTTTTAAAAGTTAATCATTCTGTTTAGTTTTGTTATTCGCACATTTAATTCCAAATGGTAGGATTATTTCTTATCTACTATATCAGTACTGAAATTTCTATAAACCAACGGAGCAAGGATTATTTCCAATCTACTATATAGTACTAAGATTTATTGTCAAAGCTAAATCAAAAAACACAAGTTTTGGCTGGTTATTTTATTACTCATTAGAGGTCCCATTTATTTTGAAGCTTAGAACATATATTTATAACAATATATTGATAAAACGAAAATCCCCTCACAGGTTTATCCTTATTTTATATACCTAAGATGATTATTTATAGTTGATATCAAAAATATATTATGTTCTTTTATATAGGTGAAGAAGTATTTGCATTACCCTGAATTGCGAATTAAATTTTTATTTATAACAATTATTTAGTCTGCTTAGGTTATTTTTTATTCTGCCTTTAATCCAGTGACGTAGGCGTGTGCCATATAAAGACAGAAAGTTTAACTCTTTGTCTGGAGTATTATTTCCATCATCTTCTATTTCTTTAAAGCATAAGTTTTATACTAAGATATAGAGATGCCAGTAAGATTATTCTCTAAAAAATCAGCGCATTATCATAACTCGCCATAAAGTCCTGATTAAAGCCCTCTATATTCTTTAATATAACGTATTGAAGATGTTTGTTTTCGTAGATGTCGTTTCATTTATGATAAAAATTAAATTGGTAGAGTAAAAAGATATGATGAATTTTTCATTGGAACTTACTTAGGTCGACGGTTTATTTTGTTGATGTATAATATTTTGAGAAAAAAACAAAAAAAAACCAAACAAGTTAAATGAGAAAGCAGCATAAAAACTGTTTTACTAACTTTTATTTTTCTCAACCCAAAGGTTATATATGTTATATGTACTTAATTTCGAAATAAACTACTACTGTCTTAATGTATGCTATTTTACTCATATTATTTAGGACAATTTGTTGTGCTTTATGGTTTTCTATCCATTTTCGTTAATATTGCAAAAAATTAAAATTTGCAATTCAATTTGAAAAGAGAAAGTGGTGAGGAACGCAAACAAATGGCCAGTAGAAATAAAGTTTAAATGAGCAAAACAATCTAAAAGCCGCACACAAAAATTTCATTAAAAAATTCAAATAAAAATGAAGAGTAACTGAGATACAAATATTTCGGTGAATTGTGAAATGAATGGCAGGCAGTACAATAAAACAAATGTGAAGAGAACGGTAACAAATGAATGAATGTACTACCGACAACTGTATCGACTATCCACAACAAATACAAAGTATCTGAGCCTCTGAGTATCTGTCAGCACTCACAGTGGGCATATTCTTAAGCATTAGGCACAATTAAATTTATAATTTGCACAATTTATGCACTGCACTGACCACTGTAGATGCAGATACATTCCCATTTCAGATGAACGAATGCTGCATATAAATAACAAATTTGAGATGTGCAGATCCTTTAATTCGTGTGCAAATTGCATTCGAAATGCTACACAATATTGCTGTTGCTGTGGTTGTTGCTATTGCTGCTGCTGATGTTGTTGTTGTTGTTATTGTAGTTGTAAGTTTTCATATGGCAACTGCCTCAAATAAAACATTGTCGATAATGTATTGCAGCTCAATACGTTATGATGTGATGTATTTTTTTTCGATTTATGTTTCTTTTTGTGTTGGAATTTATTTTATGAAAAATAAAAATGTAAATAAGTGCATCATAAATCATAATGTTGCAGCAACTACATTGGAAAAAAAAAGAGAAATACCGCGAATTGTTGCCAATTTTACAATATAAAAGCTTAATTCAATTTGTAATATTTATTATCGAGTATAATAAAAAAACTGTATGTATTTGATTTATTTTATTAGCTGCCTTTCATAACAGTTATTATCCAAATAACTAAGCAACTTGAGATACGAGTATCTTACAATTTGCTTCCTTAAGTACTGTAAAACTGCCACAAGTTATTTTGGTGCTGCATCAACGTGCCACAGAATCTGTCGAACAGCTGTAACAAAATATTTTATTTGTACTTGCAGAATGCAAAACATTGTGGCAGTTGTAAGACCAAACCGTTGCCAGCATATTTCTGTCATGCCTGGCAAATGAGCACAACCACATTTAGATACATTTGCATAGATACATACACTCATAATTTGATTCAATTTCCGCTGATATACAATTCGATAGACTTGTGCCAGCAGCAGCGTATGCAAGCTCAAGACAAATGCCTGTATCGGTTTTCAATTATCAGTAATTAATGCAATTATCATAATTTTATAACGACTGTTGAACAGTGAACAGTAGCAAAATGATTTCTTAATATTATTATTATAATAAAGCGTTCATTTATGCAGATTAATTGCTAATTCATACTCATATCTGCTTTGCCTGCTCGCATCAAATTAAAATTTACATAACGCTCGTAAACATATGCGATATTTGAACTTAATACTATACCTCTGTGGTAAGATGAAATAGAAAGCCTTTCACCCGAAAACCTGCTACTCATTTTCACTTTTAGCTCTGTAAACCAATAAATAAAATTACGAATAAATAAATATCGT